GCTGGAAACCGTTCCAGTGTTGTATGCAATGCGCCCTGGAACCGTTTAAAGGTTCTACATCTACAGGATTCCTGAGGCATAAGGTCACTAGTACTGCACCCAGCCCTGCACTTCCAAAAAACTCCTCTGAGATAAGCAGCTGCGGTGATTAACGACGCCTCACGGCGATTATTCTTTGCATTATCACTATCATTAGCAGTACATTTGTTATACAACCATAATGGGAAATAAGATAGAGGGAAGTTAGATATCTACTAGAATATCAACAAGCATTCAGTATTCATTAAGGATCAAGGTGCTCACACCACCGCGGCAACGCACGGATGAAAACAGCTGAACATCGAGCGGGGCTAAAAATGCCCAGGTGAGAGCCTTTCCCTTGGTTTCCGTTGATTCACGTCGCAATCAACCATATCTAAGAGTAACCCGGGATAACGAACACGGTAAACAAACGGAATGGCCAGAAGAAATAATTGAACCGGCCCGTGTCTTTTGCAAGCCATTTCATGCGAGGTCTCGAGCTAAGTGCATAAGTAGTTGCGCGGACCACAGACTGGAGTGCAGGACGGATCCACGACAGTTTATCTAGTGAGCATAGAATTCATTTCCAGCTGCCAAATCAACGACAACCATCTTTAGCTTCAATTCATTCTAGATTCGATAAATAAGACATGGCCCTCTTCGGTATACACAGCGCCTGGGCAAATCAACACAAATTATTCAACGTTAGTTGGAGACCTAACGAAGTGATCGGGTCACCTCCTCTAAGCGCTATCCTACGCACTTCAGCGTCGTTAACACACTGAGACCAATCGATACGAACAATGATTAGCAGGCAACAATAACCTCTAGGCGCTTGAGATAATCAGACCGAAGGGGGTCAAGTTTCGCGTCGGTAGAGGAGAACAGCCCTCACTGAGCCCGTGTAAGCACAGGTTTTACGACTAAATTTCCTCTGGTGCTAGATATGTGGCAGATTGTGATGAGGCTGAATATGCAGGCTCGCGATTGTTGAGCAGAAAGATAATGTTTGTTGCATAGTACAGGTTTAATAGTTTCCAGTACACAGGAACTCAGTGCCGCAACGCAGGACTCTACAAGGAAACACACGCTAATGCACTCTACGATAAGCCGTCGTAGACCATAACGCGATCTGTGAAGTTGGGAAATGGAACACAGATGTTCACATGTATAATGGGAACAGCTTTCCGGGGCTGCAAACCGAAAGAAATAGAGTGAGCTACTGAGACGGAAATGTTTGCAAAATCGACAGCATGTATAGTGATGCTTTAGCGCATACCGCACAAAAGATGCTGTATACGGCCCGCTTCGATCGAATCAACTGCGGTTCTCCTATCTACGAGTTTCACTTCGCAGTGAGACGGCTGCGTGAGTGGAAGCCAGTTGAGTTATAACCAAACACGTAGAACCGACAAACAATACGAAAGGCTTGTGGAAAATCGCCACCTTAATCAACTCGTTACCACGCCACCCAACAGGAGACAATTCTTGACCGAGGGTCTCACTTTCAGACTCAAATGGAAACGGCTTGGATGAGCATGGGTTATGCGCGAAAACCGCTGACAGGTTGAATCGCACCTCAAGTCTCAGATGTAAACGGCACCTCCATACTAACCAGCTGTTTCGACGTGTGCCAACCATATAAGAAACACCTCCGAGACAAAAGAACTAAACTCGAAAGTGCCACACCCGACCAGCCAGAAGCCGTTTCTTATTATATATGGAGTCTCTTGCGACGTTTATGACTGTGCCACAAACATGACCTCCTGAAAACATTGGGGTGGATTAGGTGGATCACCACACGGAAAGTTAACGGTTTCTCTCCCCAATGCCACTTCTCGAGCTCTCTGAGTTAACCAGGACCCTTCGTCGGCTCACACTCCGCTTTTCTTCGCACCTCATTACTTGCTGTGGCAAAATGGACTTTTCCGGATTTCACTGTGTCCACCGACCTACTGCATATCCAGTGCCGGTGCAATGACGACTGACTGCAAAAAAGGATCCGCTTTAGGTGTGGTCGCTGAAATCTCATTTCATTGCAACAACGTTTTCGACAGCTCCAGGTGGAAGATTAGCACGATGCGTTTTGCATACTCGCATCACTGTGAACTGAGACAGCTTTTCGGTCGCTCTTTGAAATAACTTTGACACTTTTACGACAAATTCAAGGGAAAATAGTAACGCTATATGGCCGGAATTCACGCGAGCGTTCGAAGACGGACAGCAATGGCGCGTCCAAGCTCATTGAGTTTGAAAGAACTGTTACCCACAAACATCCAATGATAGGCCAGCAGTGGCAATAAATACTCGTCATTGTCCGTGCACTTGTAGATTAGCCTAAATCATCCACCTATCTGATCATTCATATCTAATACAACTAGGACGATATCTAAGGTGACAGTATGTTAGGTTGACAATAGGCAATGTTGACAGTAGCATTACCACCATCAGTTGGAGCGTAGAAGACACAAAAGGGAAGTGTCTGACGCCACTCTATGTGTAGACCATAGTAGAATCCGAAAAACGGGCTGCGCAGATGATTATTCACAGAAACCCGGAGGGAACTCAGTATTAGGATTAAGAACTATGTCTATTTCAGTGCCCGTTGCACCACCACCTAATACACACACAATCCATAACAAGAAAGTAAGCTAGACGCAACTAGCTCGGTAAGCACGAGAGAACGATAGATGCGAGCTTCAGAGACGTAACACAACACCAGTTATTCAAACTGTGTGAAAATGCAGCCTGTTGAGCTGCCTGCTTGAGATTACGTAGGTTGCAGGGTACAGGGGAAGCCGATCAACGTTGTTTAGTACGGGATCTTTGTGAAATGGGAAGCGTATCAAAAGTAGCATTTTTGTTTGTTTGTATACCATGGGGTGTAAATTATAAAATGCGACCATTTTAAAACGGTGCGATGGCATGTGCAGAATGGGAATTAAGGAAAAAGAAGTTACCATGGTGTATATGAATTGACAAAGCTCTCGACCAGGCAAATCTAGTGGGCGAAGAGTAAGTTTATCCAACTTCCAAATGTAAGCAATCTTGTCGCTTAGATCAACGAATCGGAGACATGTAAACTGTCGTACAATGTTAAGATCAGATCTCATTGCTACGAGATTGCTTGTGGATGTCCAGAGATACTCCCGAGGTGGCCAGCAATCAAATCGCGTGATAGCTTCCGACAACGGACCCAATGCGAGTGAGGCGATGACTTATACTAATCTAGCCAATTGAGACAAGAGATCAAATGTTTACTTATGATTGCACAGGTCTGATCGGGCGTAAAGAGTGACGTTAACGTAGCTCGACGTCTTGCGTATTTGTTGATAGGCACTTAAACCATACTGCTCAGTGGCCAAAAGTCAGACAAATTCAGCCTTCCCGGTATGGAATTGGAAATAGGGTGGCACTCGTTTCTGTAAAGCGGGACCACAGTTATATTCCCGCTCCTTTGCGATCAGCCTTTTGAGCTATCTCTCACTACTTCACACTACTAATGTCATCATGACCATATGACAGCCAAGTATCGGTACAGAGTACTGTGTAGCTGTTGACTGTAATGTGCAGATTTGATGATGAATCATCGAAACTAACTCTGCTCGCTGTTCCGGGTGCTTGCTCATCGGTGGCAAGCAAACAGACAAAGCGGTAACCTTTTACTATCTGCACGGATTCCGTGAAATGTTAGTTGGAGATTCAGCTCACGGTTAACGGAAGCGAACTGGGATATACAATTCACAATGTGGCTTTGAATTTCGGATGGGGGACCTAGGAGGGGCCATGAGATAACTCAGCCTAGCGTACTGCATGTTTGAGTGTATTTTTCATGTGTTCATCGTTTAGAGGGCAGCTGCAGACAGTGTTGCAACCTCCAGTTTGAAAATCGATGGATATACTAGCACCACTTCTCCAGGCAGCGAAATTTCTATACCATTTCTCGGCCAAGTTGTCGTCTTGGGCAACAGAATTAATCTGAGGGGGCATCCAAAATGAGTCTACTCAATTAATTTGTTCCGTGCGTAGGAGCTGAAGCGTCCCACCTGCACCCCTATGACTTAGTGCGTCTGAGGTCCAGTTGGCTGAAGGCGACAAGCTATACACGCACACCTACACACCTGCACAAGTGACTGGCGTACGCACGGAACAAATTAATTGAGTAGACTCATGTTGAATGCCCCCTCAGATTATTTCTGTTGCCCAAGAGGACAAGTTGGCCGGGAAATGGTATAGAAGCCGAAAGCCTACTGAGCACGAGAAAAAGGATAATGTCTTTGACCTCCAATCAATGGTTCGCCGGTGAAATGCACTGACTTGTATAACGACATGGAGCATAGTGTTACCAGTGAGGGCTTTGGGGATCAACGAATCCGATATCCTTAATGAAAGCGGTGAGTACGTAGCATCAAGACTAGTATTCAGTAGGTTGGACTGCCGAACTCTCTCTTCGTGGTACCATCTGGGTGGTTGCGAATAAAGGTGTCTAGCATATACCACGACGGCAGTGGTCCATGAGGTGAGGACCTGTGAAAAGCATTAGTCATGTGCATGAACGCTGATGACTGAGGTTTCGCGTTTGTAACCAAATTGTCAAGCTAGGTGAATAACAACAAGTGATCAGCCGACCCGAGCCAAGATCAAATGAATTTGGGCAATTGCCTAAGGATTCCAGCTTGCTCAAATGACTGGTACGGATATGCCCATGCTACAAACCTGATGAGCTCAGCCAATGTGCAGATACTAGTGCTATGAAATATGAGAGTTGTTTCTATATGTTACAGCACCAACTTCATGGGGAATGCTGACGTTTGTTGAACTGCGCCATGCAAAAAATGAAGGATGAACACGCACAAGGAACGCCACCATTTACAAACATGTCTTTGCAAGAGAGCTAATACAGAGTCTGAGTGCAAAGTTTCTATATTAACCATGCCCCCTCCATTGTGCAAACATTGCAGGTTCCACAATGAACAGTACAGAATCAAAAGAAGACAAGTGAAAATACCAATTAATGAGGACCTCAACAATGGAGTTTGTCAGGTATGCGTCACCCAAGTTCAAGTCACAGGGTCAAAATCAGTGAACAGGAACTATCGATCCCGGGGAAAACAAGTACATTTGGCTACCTCGGCGAAAAACAGACGGAAATCAGCGACGATGTAGTCTCACTGAAGGAGAAAAGGGTCGAGAGAAAGGTACATTTCACAAGGAAATAAAACGTTCATTGGTGATACCCAATAAAATAAGGTCCGTCAATGGCTATGCCCAGACCAGGTCAGGTTTAGTTAGGCATGCAGTTTAACGCGCAAATAATGGTTGGGGTCACACATGACTTGGGTAATGTGCTGGCTTGCTGCAGTACAGATCGTTAACTGGCAAAAATAACCGGGTCACATCAAGCACTGCGGCTTATTTCTTCAACCGAGCAACTCACAAATTATACTCACTCAAACACTAAAAACCACCGGCGATTATGGGTTCGATCCCCACAGAGGACCAAGTTCCAATAGGACGAAATGATCGTCTGATGCTTTTACAGATTGGTAGCTAACCTATGCGGTAGGTAATTTAATTGCGATAAACCAAATAATAAAAAGTAAATCGTTTTCGAAGAAATTCAGTTCTTGGTTATCACATCAGACATGTGCAATCATAAAGTAGGAGCTATCTGGTGTTAAAGGCTACTTCTAGCTTAGAGTAAATTCAGTAACTCGCGTTCAATCGAAGCACCAAAAGCTTGTAGGATGCGGTGACGATTGACATCTATTTTAGTTTCGCTACCACAGAAAAGAGAGCAGGTTGCCAGATGGCGTCAAGTCCATGACAAGGTGAGACCCTGTACGAGCGCCTTCCGTTTGCCCATTTCTGGCATCAAGCATCTGATTGTAATGGCTTCAGCTTTTGCCAGTAAGCGACCTCTCGATAAGGCGTGAAACACTTCAAATGAACTTGTGGTGAGAACTAGATGTGCGGTGACTATTAGGTGCTTCAAGAAGAAACCGGGTATATTTCATAAGACAGCGTTCCGTTAGCCGCTTCGATGGACGTCTGATTGCATGTCCGAAGCACCCTGCACTACACGTGAACTGTTATAAGAACAGAGTTTCGTCTTTACAGTGCTGGGTAAAAGACGGACTTTAGTGGTCCGATATGTCCGGTACACTGTGATCGACTGCTTTCCACTCAACAACTCAAAAGGTGCATGCTGGTGAATGGGAAAGACCTCGAAGTCATCGCCGATTTAAGGCGATCACTGCTTACGGAATATAGCGGAACTCGCTCTTCAGTGACAAATTGTACTGATGGGTAAAGAAGTGAGGCCGGTCCCCGTAAGATACTACATCAAAGTTGAGCCAAAAACAATCTAAGAGTATTATAAGAGAGACAGTAAAATCAGAGATAACCCAATCAGTTAGTGCAAGCTCCTCAATCACAAATCATGCAGAAAGTATAGATTTACCAAACGCGATCATATGAGATTAATAGTTAGCCAATCGTCACGCCTCACACTGCCACGGTAGGTTAAGATTAATAGTCAACTGTTTCTGCACACAAAGCAGCGGCCGCTCTCGATCGATGACGATGACTTCCAATAGCCTGAGAATGTGGGACCGCTGATTGCGCATAAGGACGACAAATGACTCATCGGAGTTAACTCGGTGGCCGGTGCTCAGCTAATGCCTGGTGATTGCCAAGGCAGCTCGATTTCTCAATTCACCCGATTCCGCCGTCGCCGAACATGTTCGGCTGCGTAACCACTTGGGAATGTGCTCATTGATACTGACACCTAATCTTCGGTTAGTGCGCCCGATATAGCTGTCTCCGCACCTACAGGTGAATTTGTATAAGCAATGGGATATGCACAGCATCGTTATCGATGTCTTGATGGAACGCATAAGCAGAGTTCTTGTTGAAGTGAGCAACCGTAGTTCAGTTGCATTGTACGCCCATTTCACTGAAGCACTAATACGCTTCGCGATGATTTTCATAATATGGTCACCTCTGAATGGCAGTTCGATGAAGATAGGCTTCTTTTGAACTGTTGGCACACGATCTCGCGTGGACATGTCGACAGTGCGCTTTATAAACTGCACCGGATAACTGTTTGATTGTAGTATCTTGAACAGGTAACCATTCTCTGCATCTAATATGTCTGGGGTGCAAATCATGTGGGTGCGATGAAACAGCGTCTGGACAAGCGAGCGTTTGTGTTGTATAGGGGAGAAACTCTTATAATGCAAATACTGACCTGTCCAATGTTGCTTTTCGGTAGATTGACCTTCTGATCGAACCAGCCATTTGCCGCATGATCAGTATGTCTAGATATGGAAGACAACTGTTTTGTTCTGTCACATGTCACTGTTAGGTTCGAGTGCATACTGTTTAGTGTCTCGGTCGCACACACAAAGTCCTAGTCGGAATCCATGATATGCAGTATATCATCCACATAACGTTTTCATAGACTCGCCGATTTTATCATATGCCCTCTCTTCGATCATACCCATGAACACATCTGCTAACAAAGGGCCCAGTGGAGTGTCCATTGCAACCGTCTATTTGTCGATATGCCTTTTCTTGGAGCTAAAACGATGTTTTTCGTGCACAAAAGAAGCATATGCTGCAACATTTCTGCATGGAGCTGCAGTCGGATGTTATGTTTTGAGATGAACCCACACAATCGACAGGCTCGATCAGCAGGATGTTAGTGAAGCGAACATATTCGCTATTTGATCAAGTTTACGTATGCCAAATAAAACAGTAGTTGGAAAGTGCTTGATAAAGTATGCTTTACTATGGATTTTCTGATAGGTTCAAGCGTTGTTCAGCCATTTGGCAATGGTGTGGTACAGTGAATCGATCATGGAAATAATTGGACGCATGGACATTCCTTTCTTTTGCACTTTTGGCAACCCGTACATTTGCATAGTACGTATGTCCACAAGTTTTAGTGCTTGATATTGGCCTTCGGATATAGAACAATGAAGTTTTAGGATTTGTAGTTCGCGACAAAGTTGCTTCTCGACTAGACGAACAACGTCAACATGTTTCCAAGAATAACGTGAAGTGGCTGATGAACTCAAATAAGTCAAAACGGATGCATAACGGTTGATTGACTAAATGTAGCGTCCTGAGATTCTTATTTGTCCTACGTCTGTCAAGATATAATCTTTGTTGTGCACATGCTGAACTGGGCGACACGCGAAAATCAGCTGCGTTAGAGAAGTGATGAATAGTTAGCCGTGCTTGTGGTTGGCGGCATCCGGTTGCAGATATGCCTGTCACTGCGGCATCCAGAGAGACAGCCACAGGACGCCTGCGCCTACAGAGGGAACATGGGTGGCTTGCGCTGCACTACCCACTGCTTCATCCACACATCCCATATCCAGTGTAAACCCGAAAGAATAAGACCGGGAGGCATGTGGATGGGAGCCACGTTTCATCAACGGAGCCGGCCCTCACTCCTTCACAGGCAAACACAAGCACGCTGTATTGGGTGAGTCAAGCGCACATAAGGCGGTGGCTGGACCGTAGTCCGCTACACACTGAGTGAATGGAACCATTCTTCGAGCATAGCAAGGGCACGAGAACCGTGCACCCCGTCCCCTCCAGCAACGATCAACTGTCCTGGAGCTAGTATAATCATAGTATATATATGTATATAAAATCGGCAGTCTATAAGATGGACATAGGGCCAGCGAAAACCATGAAACGGAAGTAATAAATACAGAGACCACAAAGAAAAGAAGGAAAGTCACAAAAAGTTTTGTTTTAGAATCTTCCTTCATTTGTCTTTTTTCACACGCCGTTCATCGTTTTTTTGTCTGTCTAGTGTTTGCGATGTAAATCAAGAAAGTCAAGACAAACATTTGTACACATTTTTCATTGGGACCGGTTCTGCGCCATTGCTGAAAGTTTCCAGCCAGCGATGTTCTTCATCTTTGATGCTCCTGCCCGGAAGACGCACGGGACCTACGACATACAAACTGGAAGTCAGCGCTTTAATCGTTTGTCGCCACGTGATGGGCTGACCACCGCGCGATTTCTTCCAGCCTGGTCCTTTGCGAGCAAACAGAGCGCGTCGGGGCAGCCGTTCGCATGGCATGTGTAAAACGCGGCCCATCCATCTCAGTTGGCGCAGTGGTACCAGTCTGTCAATTGGAAGTCCCGTGTTACCCAAGACGCGACGTCTAACATCATCGTTGCGCACGTGGTTCATCCACCACACTCGAGCTATTCTCCGCAGATATCCATTGTCAAAGGCCGAAATCCGACGCAAGTCATTCACACAAATTGGCCAGGACTCACTCTCATACAGCAGCGCCGCGCGAACACAGGCAATGTAGGCCTTGCACTTTATCAATAGTGAGACGTTACGGCGTCGCCACAGATGCCTCAAGTTGGCGAATGTCGAACAGGCTCTGGCAACTCGGAGGGAAATCTCTTTTCCAATGCCACCATTAGCAGAAAGACAGCTTCCAAGGTAAACAAACCTGCCCACTTGTTCAAGCTGTGTGCCTTGAAGAGTGAGCACTGGGGCAGGTGGATGCCAATAAAGGACCAGGACTTTGCATTTCGTAGGGGCCAAAGTCATTCCATATTTTGATGCCTCAATCGCCAAGCGGTTTAGAATGGCACGTGTGCTCTGTGCGTCATCACCAAGCACGGCAATATCGTCAGCACAATCTAAATCGGTCATGCGGTTGCCAGGAAGAAGCACTACATCAGAACACTGGAAGTCCTCGAGAGTGTTTAAAAGGACATCCTCGATCGCAAAATTGAAGAGAAACGGGGACATGGGGCAACCCTGTCGTACATCGCTAGTGACGACAAAAGGTGAAGAGAGTTTACCATAAGCCCTCACTTTACCTGAGACATTGCAATAAAATGCTCGAAGGATGGCGATATACTTTTCGAGTACTCCATACCTTCGAAGCAACGCCATAAAGCTAGCCGATCGACAGGTAATAGACAGGAAAGCAGTTTGTCAACAAGCACATCAAGGGCAGCCATACCGGGGATGTAAAACAACAGCCAATCACTCGAAATGAAAATATCGAACAATAGTTACCGAATAAAGCACAAAGACTCAACTCTTTGCTAAACGATCATTTGCAAAAAATTGGTTACCAACAATTCGCGATAAGTTCAAGATATCAGAAAAAGATAT